CAAACATTCAGAGAAGAACTGTCACCAATTCTACAGAAATTATTTCAGAAAATTGAAGAAGATGGAATCCTCCCATACTCATTCTATGAAGCAAACATTTTCTTGATACCAAAGCCAGGAAAGGACACCACCAAAATAGAAAACTACAGGCCAATATCTCTCATGAACATTAGATGCAAAAATCCTAAGTAAAATACTGGCCAATAGAAGCCAATGATACATCAAAGAAATAATTCACCATGACTAATTGGGATTCATAACAGGTATACAAGGATGGCTCAACATAAGGAAAACAATTAATATAATTCATCACATTAATAAAGCAAAGAACAAGAACCACATGATCCCATCAGTTGATGCAGAAAAGGCCTTTGACAAAATTTAACACCCTTTCCTGATTAAAACACTCAACAAAATAGGATTAGAGGGGAATTTCTTCAACATAGTAAAAAGTATGCATGCAAACCCAAGAGCCAACATCGTTCTCAATGGAGAGAGGTTAAAGGCATTCCCTTTAAAAATAGGAACTAGGCAAGGATGCCCACTATCACCTCTCTTTTTCAATATTGTATTGCAAGTCTTAGCAATAGCAGTAAGAGAAGAGAAAGGAATAAACGGTATCCAAATTGGCAAAGAGGAGGTAAAATTATCTCTCTATGCAAATGATATGATAGTATACTTAGAAAACCCTGAAGATTAAGAAAGAAAACTACTGGACACAGTGGATCAATTTAGCAATGTGGCAGGATACAAGATCAACATACAAAAATTAGTTGGATTTCTCTACAGTGACAAAGAGAATACAGAGCCGGAACTAAGAAAAACAATACCCTTCACAATAGATAATCACAAGATTAAATACTTGGGAATAAACTTAACCAGAAGCACAAAGGATTTATTCAAAGAAAATTACAAAACATTGCTACAAGAAACAAAAAGAGACCTTGAAAAGTGGAAGAATATCCCTTGCTCATGGATGGAAGACTCAATACTGTGAAAATGGCAATACTACCAAAGGCAATTTACATGTTTAATGCAATCCCAATACAAATACCAATCCCATTCTTCAAGGAGATGGGAAAAGCAATCTCTGTTTCATTTGGAATGGAAAGAAACCCCGAATAATCAAAGCA